TTACCTTGATTACTCTCTGTTCGTATAACAATGTTCAGTGTTGCTCTTTTTTTTTTAGCAAAGACAGCTTGGATCCTCCTGTTGTTTTCCTTCATGTTTATTTATAGTCTCAGCTTTCAGGGAAGAATTAGATTCATTTGATTTTTACAACAAAAAAACTTAATGAAGAGATTTAATGAAGTCCTTGCAGTAAATGACATGTCATCTGTCATAACTGTTAAAACAAAAACTGAGAATAAAGCCTCTCGGGTCAGAGTTCTGAAAACAAAGTTCTCGGGCATATACACTATATTGCCAAAAGTATTTGCTCACCTGCCTTGACTCACATATGAGCTTAAGTGACATCCCGTTCCTAATCCATAGGGTTCAATATGACGTCGGTCCACCCTTTGCAGCTAGAACAGCTTCAACTCTTCTGGGAAGGCTGTCCACAAGGTTTAGGAGTGTGTTTATGGGAATTTTTGACCATTCTTCCAGAAGCGCATTTGTGAGGTCGCACACTGATGTTGGACGAGAAGGCCTGGCTCTCAGTCTCCGCTCTAATTCATCCCAAAGGTGTTCTATCGGGTTGAGGTCAGGACTCTGTGCAGGCCAGTCAAGTTCATCCACACCAGACTCTGTCATCCATGTCTTTATGGACCTTGCTTTGTGCACTGGTGCACAGTCATGTTGGAAGAGGAAGGGGCCAGCTCCAAACTGTTCCCACAAAGTTGGGAGCATGGAATTGTCCAAAATGTCTTGGTATGCTGAAGCATTCAGAGTTCCTTTCACTGGAACTAAGGGGCCAAGCCCAGCTCCTGAAAAACAACCTCACACCATAATCCCCCCTCCACCAAACTTTACACTTGGCACAATGCAGTCAGACAAGTACCGTTCTCCTGGCAACCGCCAAACCCAGACCCGTCCATCAGATTGCCAGATGGAGAAGCGCGATTCGTCACTCCAGAGAACGCGTCTCCACTGCTCTAGAGTCCAGTGGCGGCGTGCTTTACACCACCGCATCCGACGCTTTGCATTGCACTTGGTGATGTATGGCTTGGATGCAGCTGCTCGACCATGGAAACCCATTCCATGAAGCTCTCTGCGCACTGTTCTTGAGCTAATCTGAAGGCCACATGAAGTTTGGAGGTCTGTAGTGATTGACTCTGCAGAAAGTTGGCGACCTCTTCGCACTATGCGCGTCAGCATCCGCTGACCCCGCTCCGTCAGTTTACGTGGCCTACCACTTCGTGGCTGAGTTGCTGTCGTTCCCAAACACTTCCATTTTCTTATAATACAGCTGACAGTTGACTGTGGAATATTTAGGAGCGAGGAAATTTCACGACTGGATTTGTTGCACAGGTGGCATCCTATCACAGTTCCACGCTGGAATTCACTGAGCTCCTGAGAGCGACCCATTCTTTCACAAATGTTTGTAAAAACAGTCTGCATGCCTAGGTGCTTGAATTTATACACCTGTGGCCATGGAAGTGATTGGAACACCTGATTCCAATAATTTGGATGGGTGAGCAAATACTTTTGGCAATATAGTGTATTTATAGTTAGATGTTTTTCTGAAACTCTTTTTAACTGTTTAAAGGCATTGCTCTCAATGAACCGCAGGCTTTCTGCCAGTAAAGTAATCGAATATTCAATAATTCACTATTAATGGTCCGATTTTAGGTTCTAATGGAGTGATAATCCTAGCTATCTAATGGCTCTTATTAAAAAGCAAAAAAAAGAAGCAATTATTTTTATTGCCTCACATTACTTTGCATATGATATATCATATATGTCTCTGGGGTGAGTTGAGAGAATTGGCAGCCTCCTGGATAGGTGTCAAAACTGAGGGAAGTTACGGCCGCCTTCCTATTTAAGCCTGTTTTGTGGTATACATATAACACTTAACAGGAAAAAAAAAAAAAAAAAACTTTTTGCAGATGCACTCATTAAATTGTCATAACATCTTTTCCATTGTTTTTAGATTAATCAGTTGATGAGTAATCAATTAGACTATCAACTTGGTGCAGGGGAAGGTTGGAGGGTCCACTGCATTTTCCCTCATCATCCCCCTTGTTAGCTGCAACCTACCCTGTACCTTTGAAACAGTGTTGGTCTAATAAGATAAATTGGGTGGAACTCCTTTAAAAATGTTCACAACTTTTTTTCTTTCTGTTTAATATCGAAAAGATATAATAGATTTCTGTTAGATAATATGTTTGAAAAAATTTTTTCAGGAACAGTTGGAGAAGCTGGGTTTTATGTCAAACTATACAACTGCTTTTACAAAGAGCCCCTGATGTGATTCAATCACATCATATACTGTAGTAATTAAACAAATGGTTCTTTAACACACTCTGCAAAGCTTAATGAAACGCTGAGATGTTTAATCCATATGTGTTGGAGCTGAGATGCCTCTGAAGGTTTTTTATCTCATTAAAATGACTTAAAGTTGTGGGAAAAACTGTGCACTTATTTTAAAATATAAATTTTAAAACCTCAGTATTTGTCTGCAGTATGGCTGAAATATTTCATCAAACTGTCATTTAATCAGAAAAATTACTAAGATCAGAATGATCAGATATTGAACTTAATTCCTATTTTTCAAATGAAGATTTTAAGCTTCGTCTGCAATCTCTGGGGAGTAGTAGCTGTAAAACTTTTTTAATGCTATAAAAATAATCTGAAAACAACAAATCAATTTTTCCTTTGAACTGATATTGCAATATTACATGTCATAGGGCCTCCCACTTTCTCCACATCAGTCTGTAAGGCAGCTCTAAATAGGAATTAGAAAGGATGGTTCTTCTGCACTTGCTGTTTCTGCTCTGCAGCTCATATTTGTGATCTTAGATCTTCTGAAAGGAGGTAAGGACTGTTTCACCACCTATAAATAAATATTTAGTCTTAATTCTAGTCATTGAGACTCGTTTTTGCCGCAGTGAATAGCATGTTTTTGTATTGGCTTATTCAGTAAATTCAGTTATAAACTTTTTTCGCATGTTGATTATATATTCTGCTACTGTAGCCAACGAAGCTAAAAGGTGCATACTCTATTCGGCTGGAAACTACATTAGCTGTTAGCAGCTTTATTGCTCATCAAAGTGCTGTTAAATAAGCACAAATGGACAGTTAGGTCAGAGAAGCGTAAATGATGTTGTTGCTATGTAAAAACCGTAGAGACCGCTTCCAGATTGCTCTGTTTCAGTTTAATTGTCAACCAATTAAATCCAGATATAGTGGAAGCCAAAAACATACAAAAATATCTAATTTTCACAGTTTTCTGCTAAATAAACCCCTCTAACTTCTTTTCTCTTGACATTATGAAAATGTATTTGTGGCGTAGTTAACTCATGTTGTGCTGGAACAAATGCAAAATATTAAATCCTTCTGAAGCAATGATGTACACCATGGTGGCCATTTACAGATGGTTCCACTAAGTTATTATGCATGAAACTTTATTAAAGGATTGTTTTTGGAATTAATTATATGTATAGGACCTCTACTTTTTAAACAGGTTCTTCATTCTTGCACAGTTTTTATTGCCTAATCACATTCTTTTAAATTAAAAAAAGCTTTGAGAGGGATGAGCAGGGTGTGTTTCTTGATCTCCTGCGGTTTGCATTACTTATTTATCCCTTTGGTGACTTTTAAACATTTTTCTTACTAACATGTTAAATGTAATACTTGCAGTTATGTTGCCTTAAAAAATGTTGTAATTCAGGTCCATCTCAGATTAAATCAGTTTCTACCAAATATATGTAGATAATATTTCAATCATTTCAATATTTCAATTGCAAAAAGCAACTGTAAATGGCGGCCCCGTCCAGGAAACACACAGCCAGGCAGACGAGCTCTGAGCCAGCTCCCATGTCAGAGGATGAAGAGAGCACATCTAGCCAGTCACAGTCAGAGAAACAGGACTACAGTGAAAAACAGGCAGATCTTGAACATCTATAAACAAAGGTGTTGATGGCAGCAGCACAGCTGATATTTCTCACCAGGATGATGTCACAGCCAAACAGGAACAGAGGAGGCAAAGCTCCTATGAGAAAAACAGAGAGCGCATAACATTAGAGATTGAACTAACAGATTCTGCAGAGTGGGAGAATAGAGATAGAATAAGGCAAAAATTATTAAATAGGGGTCCCTATGTCCTCCAGAAGTCTAAGCCTATAGCAGCATAACTATAGAGAAAGCTCAGAAAACAAAGGAAAGCTACTGTAGATTGGTTTATTTGATTAACTGCCACATTTGATAAGCTGCATAGTTGCATACGTCTGCCCATTTCACCCGTTGCTGGATTTCTATTTAGGTCCAGAATAGACTAAATAAATTCGGACAGAAAATTGGTGTTTATAGCCTTATTTATCAATTTAATATAGTTTTGGGTCTTTTTTTTTTAGGCATATAATTTGCGACTACGTATGTACCTTTAAATCACAACGAACCAACACCACACAATATCATGGATTTTCAAATCATTAGTGACTGTGAAACTTTCCAATGGAGGTAAATTCTTAGAATTTATTAAGCGCTATTCCTCTTCCTAAAGCCTTGATTTCATACTAAGGTCCAAAATTTACTTTTATCTGAAAAGATGGCTTTTTTTATAACAATCAAAGATTGGTTGCTTAACCCTACTTTTTAAGTCTTTGTGGACTTGTTCCAGCTGATTTCCATAAAACCTTTTTCCTGGATATTTCTAAGTATTTTCATTGGTTTTATCATATTCATGTTTTCAAAGAAAATGTATTTGTATATGTATTTTCAATATCTGTAGGTTACAAAAAAAATGAATAGACATAAATATATATTAATACATATTAATTGATATTTTAATCGATTGAGTTCTTTCCTTGTTTCACAAACCACGTTAAAGACCATCTAAAATCAAAATAAATCAAAGTGAAACCATAGTGGTGTTTTCTCCTGTTTTCTTTCACTCTTTCCTTCCATCGCCTATTTTCTCAAACTCCACCTAACATGTGCTTATCTGTGTCCATATGTGCTGCATCTAGGTATCAAGAGGAGTACAGTATGGACTCAACCAATGCCCAGTAAGTTTTTGGGAGCATCATGCTTGCATGGCATGAATTGTGTCCGCAGTGACAACTGGACTGCACCAAAACATATATGTCGCACAGTTATCATTGGGTTTTAAATCCACCATATGGGACTTGTTTTGCATTACTGATAAATGTGACAGATTTTGCACCAAAGATGGAAATTTCTCATATATTGCTACCTTTTCACCTGACATATTATTAATGTTTTGGAGTCCATGGAATTGAAATTATTTTACAATGAGGGGTGAAAAGGTAGCTTGAGTGTTTATCATTATTGACTGAATGTGCACGGCAGTCTTTTCTCACCAATATCATTCATGGGAACAGTTATGTTAAACTGAAAAACTAAGACCTACAGACAGTTTATTTCTATTTACACCTAACGATGGATTTATATTTTTATTGCATTCATTTTACAGCTTCTCAAGATAAAATTAATGGAGTTATAAAATGAATGGATTAATAAAGTTTATCATTTTTTATTTGCACACCTCTAAAAGGTTCCACTAGGCTATGTTGTAAAAATATATTTGAATATGACAATTGCTCTAGGTAATTTCCAATGCATACTATACAGAGTGTACTTGAACTTGAATTATTGCTGCTGTAGTGGTTCCTGTTTGTAAGTTTCATCATCGGCCTCATAATTATGTTACAATGGTTCCGCTTGTGCATGTTATAAACCATGTTAACAAATCCAAGCGGTGTTCACTGAGGAATACCCTGCATCACTGTGCAGTTTGTGTGCGATTGCATGACTAGAAAAAAAAACACTTTAACTTTATTTAAAAGATTTTGAAGATAGATAAGGTAGAAGAGGTTTAAATGTTGTATAATCCATTTGACCAATTAAGAAATTAACCATCAACTTGATATTATCAGAAGAAAAAGAAGAGGTAAAAATTAATAGAATCAAAAGCTAAACTTGCTTGTCCTGTTCCTCCTGATATATCTGCTATCATAATTAATTATTTTACCAAATCTCACAAACAAAAATCTAAACACTAATAGTACCAAACTTCAACCAGGGAATTCACGTTTGAGTTTTTAATTTCTAAGGTGACATAATTCTAGAAGTTATCTAATGCATTGACGGCCTCTTAGAAGCTTAAATGCTACCTTGAATTTTAAGCCTGTTAAGGAGAAAGGAAAGATGAGATTTGGAACCAACCTTGACCTGTCAGATTTGAAGACTAGGTTAATTACAATGCAAGAGGAAAGACAGTTTACCTTAGTCTGAATTTTCCACAATGAATACAAGTTTTAAAATGACTGAGAATCTGAAAGGTTGATTTGAAGGTTTAGTCTGTGTTAAGTCTGTGTTTCTGAACTTACCTGGAGTTTTCAGTAGATTACTTGTGAAGGACTAATGCATCAACAATAAGCGTAATCTGGCTCATACAGCCAACAAAAATGATTCTTTTACTTTTTTCTAAAACTCTGCCTTTAGACATTAGAAAGATTGCTTTTAATTCCCCAAAATATTAATAACTACTTTAATAACAATCAGCGTCACAATCAGCTTCTAATAGCTGAGGCAGTGACCTTCTTAACATTCCATTTTTACTATTTTACTGCTTTTAACCATATTTGAAAAGGGCTTTCCATGGAAGGTAACCCACCCTTACATTCATAATCCTTTCCGAAGTCGACAGTGTGTTGTATATATATGGATACTGTATATAGACGTAATGGAAATAATAGCACAGAGAACCATTTTGCAAAGGCTCAATATAATTTTCTCTGCTTGAAACCACAACTATAATGGAGCAGTTTTAATGGTTTTATTTTTCCATCACATCTTAGTCTCTTTGCTGTTTGTATTTCTGTTCAACCTTAAAAAGTTAAGAACTGAGACGGAAGGATAGATAGTGGGAGTGCAAACACAAGCTACAGCTTCCCTTAGCAGAGCTTTAACCATTCCCTGAAACATGTACCTTTGAATTTCTCTGTCATGATCGATGTTATAGGAACCTGCTTGCTTGTCGTATGTATTAAACCACTTTTGAGCAAAAAAATCCCAGACAATGTAGACACAAGTTTGGAAAACAAATCTAAGAAAAAATATGTGGAAAATTGTTGTGTTTATATATATATATATATATATATATATATATATATATATATATATATATATATATATATATATATATATATATATATATATATATATATATATATATATATATATATATATATATATAAGGTTTACCTATTCAGAAGGTGCATTGTAGTTAGTAAGACCTTATTTGTTGATAGATGCTGCTACATGCCTAAAACCCATGATTAGGGAAAGTGTCATTTGACCTACAATGAAAAGTCTGAGATAGTGTGAATATTTATTGCCGATATAAAAAATGTCATTTCATCATGTATGCTAATTTTCTTTAGAAATAATTAATTTCCTGTGCTAATTTAGGAGCCCCCAAACAGAACCTTCATAAATCAGAAGAGGATAAAGAGGTGGGGAGGAGATAGATGAGATGAAGGGGGCTAAGGATGATGGGTTTAAGAGGAGGAATAGGGGTATAGGTGATACAGATTTCAGCGTAGGGGAGGGTTGGGGTTGAAAGAATGCAAGATGTGTGGGTCTGCTCTTGAACCTCAGTTGATTTTAACTAAATGAGAGACTATGACTTCCTTCTTTAGTAAAAAGACACTGAGAATATTTTTAAAGATTTTATATGATACAAATGTTGTTCAATCATACTTCACCACCTGTCATTGAATCACCTTCTCTAATTAGCTTTGTCTAATAAGCCAGTTGTTTTCTAAGTAAACCCAGAGCTTCAGGGAGATCTCTGTAAATTTCTTCTGTAAATCTGAACCAGATTGGATACGTTTCCACATTATTGGGCTTCTGGTTGCTGCTGAAATTAGTTGTAGCTCTATATTTGCATGCAGAAGCTCTGGATGGCAGATACAAGAAGTGATCTGTAGATAATACCCAGTGGATTTTTGGTTTCTGTAGCAGTTACCCCATGTTGGAATATTTGGTGCATGTTTTGCGGATTATTCTCTCGTTCAGTGGATTTCCCTCTAGTATTTGGTTGCTGTATTATGCTAGTGTACGAATATGTCACGTGACAGGTCTCCCTCGAAAAAGAGATTTTATATCAAGGGACTTCCTGGTAAAATAAAGGTAAAATAAATAAAAAATCTCAGCACAATTTCAACACTATTTTGGCAATAAATACAAACGCCTCTCTTAGTACAAGTTTTATCACCAACCCTCCCATTGATTTGCACCCTTTGGTGTGTGTCAACTGCTCTGTAACCAGCTGTGAAGCCACAAAGCAACCTGCCTATTGAATTGCTGGTACCAAAAACCCAATGGAACATATCAATACTTGTTACAGTCATCCAGCTAATCTTTGCAAAAATGTTCCCATCCCCTTAGCTATGATAAAGACTATTTCACTAGAGTATATGGAAGAAGCTGTTTGACTGTAAGGACAAAGTCAAAGGAAATTATCTGGATGTCTTTTTACTTGTTGCATATCAAATCACCTTAGACAAACTCACACCTTAGTCTCAAAAAAAGATGGGCTAAAAATAAAAGCTTCTTCCTCATCTTGGCAACCAGTCATGACAAGTTACCTTATATACTGCAGTTATCTCAGCCCTTCTTTTGGCTTGATGTGATTTGACAGCTGTGTACAGTGCTGGTATGTGTTCCTAATGAATCATTATGAAACGTTCTGTGTTATAAGAAATGAAACATTAGCTCACTAAGGTTATGAGAAACCTTTGGACACTAGATCTCTGCAGCAAAGACTGTGCTGTGTTTTAACAACTTTCTGATTTTCTTGTAACTAATATAGGCTTAGCTGAAAATAACATTATTTTTAGAAGGGATAAACTTGAAAATTAATAACAGATGCCTTAAGGTTTTATTTATTGTGGTAATTTCCCTAATAGAACTTCGGTCTGTTACATAAGACATGATATGAAACCTCTGCACCACAAAGTAGCTCCTTTATTGCAAAGCAGGAGCCGTTTCAGTTAAAGCATCATATCATAGAATGATGGTCAAAGGAACAGGGATTAAGCACCTGGTAATTATTTTGTTGATGTGGTTGTTTATCATTTGTTACGTACTGTAATACCTTACATAACCTTGATGCATTCCCTGCGATGGTGGAAAAGGTTTTTAAACTGTCCTTTTCGATCAGGGGTAGGCTTTGTTTATTCTAATCAACCAAATTAATTGTCATTTTCCTTTACTTTGATTGTCAAAAGGGTTTGAGAACGATTTCTAAAGTGTTTCATCTTTTATAAACTCTACTTCACACCAGATTACACTGCCATAAAAGCTGTATGACCTCCGTGACAATTCAAACTCCTCAGTTCTGTGGCCAATTGGTGCCATCCAAAAGGTCATACCTACAACTTTTTGATCAAAATAATAAATTTTTTCATAGACAATACATTGCAGAATGTCTAGAGTGTTGCAAATTAAAAGCATCAATTTGAATGAAAAACAATAAATTTGGACCAGTGAAAATATATGAATATTTAGCTCTGGTTACAGTGCCAAGGTAGACAAAAGGATCCTATGTCATTTGTATTAATTATTACAAGTTTGAAGTCACATGACGTGGAGCTCAGGCATCTCCAGATTGTTATATCTTCATGATAGCTCACGATAGATAGAAATGGTTTCTTCTTGTCGGCTTTACATATCTCCGATTCAGCCCAAAAAGAAACAAAATAAGAAGTATTAAGGGTGAATGTCGGTCAAGCTTTTAAGTTTCGGTGCCAACATTAAGGGAAGCAGAGTGACTCAAAAGCCATTCAGAGTCTCCCGCTTCTCTTCTGAAAAGGTAAGTTTATAGTTTTGCAAACACAACCCACATCCCGGACATATATAGGACAACCTTTTGAGCCACTGTCACATAACGTTATATTGATATTAAAGCAGCACTTTTGAGTTGTACTCACCTTATAGGACCTTTTGGAAATAGCAATGACATAAACACTGACTTTCC